TGCTGTGTTACTTGTAGTAACATGCCTTAATTACATTTAATGCCTTATAATACTACTTATGTAAGCTAATTTAATTTTTAGAATTAAAATTAAGTATTATTTCTGATGGTCCAATAGGATTCATAACATAGGCTGTATAAATTCATCTCCACCTTCACTATCAAGCACAACTTCATGGGGTTAAAACAAATTTTCATTGTCTGCCTCTGAGATCTGTTGTAGAAATTGGTTCATGAATCAAAAGCAAAGATGAGAGAGACCTTTTGCATGAAAGTAACAGACAAATTATTGATTGACCCATTAACCTGTATTTTTCAAAGAGAAAATGTTCAACTTAAACCTTTTTTTCCTCTGAACTATAGCATCAAATTGGGCAGCAGAGGCTAAAGGTGTGTCGATCAGTTGAAAGGGCTTGATAGTGCTACTTCTTAAGATTTGCTGTGGATCAGATACAGTCTGGCTAAGTAAACATCATTTGTATACTAATTTCCATCATTTAATTTCTTAAAGTGTGTGTTTTAAAAATGTAACCAAAATGATTAATTAGAAGTAAGATTTGGTGGAGTCTGGATTGCCTGTTTTGTGTATAATAAAGTATGTACCTTTAGGTATATAATACCACTTCATTTTCTGGGCATTATTTACTAATTTTTAATGTTTCAGCTTTAGACCAGTGATTTTATATTTCAAACTCCAATATTGGTAACAAGTGGGGTGAAAAAGTACATATGGTACATGAGGTTCTATGTACTTTCAGGAGCAAAGTATCATAAAAAGACAGGACAAAGAAGTCAAACATTAAAGCTCTTGCATATATTAAAGGACCTTAGACAGTTAACGAAAAATGTTAATATTGGAAGTTGTAGCAAAATCATTTTTTGAGTAAGTTTTTAGTTTGAAATTTTAAAATTATTTTAATGTGCCTTAGCATCTTGAAAATATGTATGATCTTTTGACTTTATGCTGTGTTAACTTGGTTGGTTTACATTGTATTTATTACGCCTGCTGAAAAATCAAGTTTTAGGAAAGAAAAATGGATTATTTTAGAGTGGAATGAAGAACTTTGTTTACATCGAATTGATGAAATTAGTCAAGTGATTCCTTTTTGCTAGTGGTACTTTGAAATCGTGGTAGGTCTGATTTCAAAATAAGTTACGTAAGGTAGTAAAGTGTACTGTGTACTTGATTAAAAACCATTTCAGTCTTGTAGAATGGCCTCTTGAAGGAAATAGAACATATCCTTATGACACAATCAGGCAGTTTCCTTTTTCTATATATTTGAATTATATCTAATTCTATATATATCTTATATATAGACTTTTAGATTCTAATCTTTAAGGGTCATTTTAAATGAAAATTTCCTAAGCATTTAACAGGTCTAGAATAATTTTAGCTTTTAAAAAGTACTAGTATACATCAAAATTTGTGGCAAACACAGATTAGTTTATAAAACTTAATAAGAGTTATTGTTTGATATTGTGGATTTTGTGTTGAAACTCTTCTTTGAATTTACTTGGATGCTTTACATTAGAAGGTATATATGTAATATATATATATGCTAGCAACCACAAATGAGTTTGGTTCACTTAAAAAAAATGGAGTTGTAAGTGAAGAAAAATCTGCTATTTTTAGAGCAGATTATTATTTTTTTTTAAGTCTGGGTACAAATAGGGTTGTTTTGAACTATTGGATGCCATTTAAAGTTTTTGCCGTCCTACTCCTAGAAAATTATGGGATTCATGTCTTCAAAAGATAGATTAAAATGGATTATACGGTCGGCTGGCCACATTAGAATTATAAGACTGTAATGCTAAATGAACTTTTCCAAAGGACTTACCGTTTAAAGCTTTTTTTTTTTCTGGACTCTACTTGCTTGTTCAGTGGCTTGAAGAATTCTTTAAATGAACCACTACTTAATTATTTCTTAATTTTTAAGGTATCTTAAGGTATCTTTAAGGTTCTTTTTAAGGTATCTATTTCTAAAATTACCTACTTGGGAATATGAAGGATGTTTCAGAAATGCTATGAAGAAAGGATCCAGTCAAAGAATTACAGGGTAAAGGTGGAGTTTTTAGAAGTCTATTTAAATGGTGCATTATGATGGGTATCATTCTTATTTTGAATTACAACACCGTTACTCAGGAAATCAGTATTTTTCTTCCAAGTATATGCATATTGCACTGTTAGATCATAGAAATATCTGAATGCTTTATTTAATTCTTTTTATGTATGCAAATACTATAAATCTTTTGTATAATGTATTGGATACAAATGCAAAATGGAATTGTAGAACATTGTTAGCATGTACATCTGTAAAACTGGTTTTTAAAATTTTCTGCCCCGTATTTTTTGTATTTTAAGATATGCAAAATGTAATAAAGTTTCTATTTTATTATTCAATGTAAAATGGAAGCTGGTGAATTTAATTGAATAAAAGCAAACGTTTTCTCCTCTTCTTTCAAACTATTTAAAATAGAGATACTATGTAAGGTGGATAGAATTGCCAGAGGTTTAGTAATTCTTATTTCCTCCTTGTTAGAATGAAATAAAATCCACTGGATTATTTATAAGACATAAATGAAAACAAATTTCAGATGAGTGTTCTTTGGATGCTCTTCGATATCAGAGAAGATGACCTTAAAAGGCATGATCCATGACTTCTTAGCAAGTTGTGGGTCAGACATTTAACAAATTATGTGTAAATTTTATCATAAAACCACCTTTCCATTTCAAGGGTATTTTATTTTTAAAAGTTACCAGTAGCAAAAAGAATTGAAAAAGTTGGTTTGAAGCTTTTATTTATTTAGTGGAAGAATTTGTGGTGTAATCCTTACTTTTCCTTAAAATTGTACTTAAAGTTACTTTTTAATAAAAAGTTCTTACTAACTCTAGAGCCTTTAACCATATTAAGGCAAAGCCATTGACACTGTACGTTATGGTGGGGATGGAAAGTTTAACAAGATCCTCCAGATTTCTTAGCATTCTGTTGTATCCAGTGTAGGTCTGTGATACTAGTGATCACACTAATATTACACTGCCAAATCTTAATTTATCATGACTTTAATCACCTTGAGTTTTCTTTTTTGTTGGTGTTTATTCAAGAATATTTGATAGTGTCATTCTTGCTCAATAAATATTTTACTAGGTAAAATCTGTATTTTCTCTATCAAATATATTTAAGTAGGCTCAAAATAAAACGTTCATATAAAACAAAAGGACACAATTTTGTTTTGTAAGAATTTAATGTGTAAACAAAAAATAAGCATTGTAGCAAAAAGGTATGCCTGTTAATATAGCAAATTTAAAGACACTTCAAGTACTTTTTTATATATAGGAGGCTATCTTTGCATTAAAGTTTACCTTCTTATGGAATACCTAACTTCACAGTCCCTGAGAATTTAAGCCAGAAAAACAAGACTCATGCTGGTAAAGCAGCCTGCAAATACTACCTATCTGTTCTCACGGTTGGTCAACCTTAAACTTCTACAAAGATCTTCCAAGGGGGGAAGACAATGCACTTAAGGCAGATGGCTGGAGCCTCCTGGAGCTAATCCTTACCTAAAAGGGCTGTCTTACCATCTGCTGGACTAAAATTGTGGAGGCAAATTGAAAGCTAGGAAAAATACTTCAGTGCATTTGCTCAATTCACAAAGTTATCTGCAGATTTATAATAAAGCAGTAAATAGAACCATTGAGATCAGATTTCTATAAATTAAGTGGTATTTGGCTAAGGTACTAAGGAAGTGAGAGAATGAAACAATATTTTTTAAATTTTTATTTTTTGAGAGAGCGCATGTGTGCAAGCACACACAAGTGGGTCAGGAGCAAAGGGAGAGGGAGGGAGAGAATCCCACACTCAGTGCAGAGCCCAGCGTGGGGCTCCATCTCACGACTGTAAGATCATGACGAGCTGAAATCAAGAGTCAATGCTTAAATGAATAAGCCACCCAGGTGCCCCTAAAACATCAATGTTTTAATTAATAATCCTAAGTGACTATTTGCCCATTACAACTGGAAACTTTATGACCTTCTAAGTCCAGTAGATTGTTGTTTTAATGTGGACTTTTTTATTCCTGTTTTCCATTTAGAATGTTTACAATTTCCCAGAAGCTTATTTCAATAATTCACATATGATCAACACAGCACTGAACTATGGTCTTCACACGCATCTTGAATTAACTGAGGAGGTATTAAAATTGAAAGTGATCTTTTTCCTGAGAAAGTCTCATTACAAAATGGCACAATATACATTTTCTCCAATCTTCCCCTCCAGAATACACGATGGGAAAATCAGATTATATTTTTTGAGGAAAATATGTTTGATTTTTAAAACTTTTAAATCACTTACCAAGCTACAATTTTTTAGAGGGTGATGGCCAAATTAAGTGATCATTTCTATAAGGTATGAATGAATACATACAGCAAATTTTGGTTGGTGTTTAAGCAATTTTTGTAGGAAATAGTTTACAGGTGGAGAAACTAAGGCACAGAAAACCAAGCTCATTTTCAGGACTGAGTCTAATGGTAAAGGCAGAAATAGAATTTGGCTGTGATTCTCAAGGTTACAGGGTAATAGGTAATACCTTCCCTAAAGAGAAAATTTATTCCTTTTGGTAGGTAACAATCATCTAAAAATACATAATATGAATTCCCTTGAAAATCTTTGGCATTTGTGTGTCTTTGGAGGCTGAGGGTTTTTAGGTATTTTCCCTGCCAAAATAGAAAAAAAGCAGGGGAGCTAGTTTTTAATAAACAAAAAAGATTGATCTTGATTTTAAAATGACCTGAGTTTTATTCTGCACTGTGATATAAATCACTTGGGTAACTAGGAGTCCTATGAAATTTAACAGCAGCCACTACACCTCAAAAATCTGGCATTTTCCCCAGCGTGTATGTTTTTGATCACAAAACTTCCAATCTCATAAATTACACCGTTGTGAACTCAGGTAGGTTTATGTAGTCGTAGCACAGAACATACCATGTAAAAGTAAAAGATAAAATTATTTTCAAGTTTCTTTGTTTTTAAAGTGCTCCTTGTGCAGTATTAATCAATGTTCAGATTACAGAAATCCACTATGATGACCAGTACTAGTTTTACAACAGATCAAGTTAAACAAGAATAATTTGTTCAAGTATGAATACATAGATTAAAAGATGCAAAAACTCTAGGCACATTCAAATCTGAATAATACAAAAAAAAAATCCACTTGAACACATAAGAGGCATGACAGGGTGTTGAGAAGGAATGTCAGAGCATCAGAGACTAACTGGTAAGGTACCTAGTATGTAAACTCAATGTGGTTCTGAGTATTTTGACAGCAAATATTTGTCTAACAAAACGGGAACAAAAATACAATACTCATTCCTTATCAGAAATAGAAAACAAGTCTGTCCAAATATTTAGAAGCTATATCATAAAGATATTTTTGGAGACATTCCATAGCTAATAGGTTGCTTCATCCATGTTGTCATCACTGTCTGCACCAAAATCATCTCCATCTTCAAAGTATGAATTAATGTAGTCATTTTCCTAAGTGAAGTGAGAAATTTCTCAGTTAACATTAAAATGAATTAGTAACATTATTAAAAAACATAATTTAGGCTGTCCCTTTAATCTTAATTTATGAATATCAAATATGGGTAATAAGAAAATATATCCCGCTTTAAGAAAGTCTCTGCTATTTCATCTCCTTAAATATTTTTCACTCCCATCTACCTGTGCTGCTTTCCACAAGACCATCACCTCCTACTATTCTCAGGCACCAACTAGTTAAGAGAAAATGAAGGAATGTCCGTTACTCCTTAGTAGAATGATACATCGAATTCATTATACCTCAGTAAGATGATACAGGGTTTAGTTAGCCAAACCACCAATTAGTTACTCCAAACAAATGTACAATCAAGAAACAAAGCCAATTTACATTAACATTCAAGTACACCAGAACTGAGGTTTTCAGTCCTGATGTGTAATTGAGCAGAAGTAGAGGGATTTTTGCTTTCTATCAAAATACAAGCCTCAAGATACCAAAAAAAAAAAAAAACCTAGAAAATGCCATATTCCATCTGGGAGCCCTCAGTTTCCTTGAGGTTAAGAGGGATTAAACTCCTGGGAACATTTCAATTATTAAGACAGGGTAAGACTATTATCTATGTAAATGATTCCTGATATTTCTGTGCTTTCTATCAAAAATTTAAAAATCCATTTTGGATATGGATTAAAAGAAATTTAAGAGCATTATTAACCAATTCCAGTGTATGGGATGTATCTGGATTTTGATTGGAACAAACAAAAAAAATTTGGCGGACAATTGAAAATATTTGAACATTGGCTTAATATTTGATGATATTAAGGATATTAGGTGTACTAATGATGTTGTGATGTTGTTAAAGAGTCCTTATTTTTTAGTCCATACTGAAATATTTATGGATGAAATGATACAATGCCTGGGATTTGCTTTATAATAATCCAAGGTGGATGGGGAATGGAAGTGGGGCGGGATAGGAGTGGACTGGGTGAATGAATGGGTGGTTGAAAGACTGGCTATAAACTGATGATTGTTAAAGCTGGGTGATAAGTCCATAGATGTTTATTTTACTAGTTACTAGATTTTTGGACATCATTGAAATCTGCCATAAAAATATTAATCTGCATTTCTACTCTCTATAACAGGAGTTACGATACAGTAACAAAATAAAGACTATTCTCTAAAGAAAGGCATCTGGATTTCAGCTTTATAAGTATCTATGTGGTGGGATTTTTTACTATGTAACTTTATATAAATAATGCAAGACAACTTGCATTATTCAGATATAGATTTCATTACTTTGTCTTCCCTCAACACTGTAAGTTTCTATATCCAGTAAGTTTCCGTATCATCTCCAGTAAGATGGCCTGGTTTCTCTGTTGCCAAGAAATCTAATGATGTCTGGAAATATGGCTGAAGCCTGGGGCTAGTGTACAGGGGAGGTGTGGCACGGTTGAGAGTTCAAATGAACCTCACTGTAAATGAAATTGGAAGGGATACTCCACTATTCCAAATCAAGCACATGCAATTTATGCTTTAGACATGAGCACCTCCAAGTACATTCAGTGATTCACAATAGGTAATTTCATGATGTTAATAATATTGATACAGGTACAAAGTGAGAACTTGTTGAAACTGATGGCTTAAATGGTTCTTGGCTTTCATTTGAACGCTTGATTTTTTTCTTTAATAACAATATTCACAAGACCGAGGAAAGAAAAAGTCTGTATTTCTTGAATTTTACATAGAGGTGTTATATAGATAGTTATATATATATATATATACATATATATACATATACATATATACATATATACACACATATGTATATATACATATACATACATACATACATACATATATATACATGTATATACATATATACATGTATATACTTATATATACATACATATATATACATATATATAGTATACATATATATATAGTTATAAATAAATATATATAGTTGCTCCATTTACTCTTCAGAAACAATGCTTATCAAATCCTCAATTCATCAAGTAAGTTAATTAGCATGATTTTTTCATTAATTGACTGCTAAAAAGAGTAAAGAATAAATATAGAAAAGTCTTTAATCTCCCCTCTTCATCCTTCACGCAGCCTCATACTCAAAACAGGTATCATTTCTCTATTAAAGTGGAAATATATTTATATAAACTGTTTAGTGCTTTGCTAAGGCCTAACACAGAATTCTGAAACTACTAGAATCCTGATGTCTGTTATTCTTGTTAGGAAAGATCTTACTCTCAACAGAGCTCACCTCAAGCAGACTTTATAAGCAGAGCATTCCAAAAGCCAGCCTTGTCTAGAAAACAAGCCACTAGCCACTAAAAGCTAATAGCACGCCATGACCCCCAAGACCAGTTATGACACTCAAAAATGTCTCCAAATATTACCAGATATACCTCAGAGGGCAAAATTACCACTGGTAGAGAACCACTGGTTCATAGCAACAAACTTTCAAACATGGTCTAACCATGGCTCCTTCCAATCCAAGCAACTGGGCTTTCTAAAATACAAATATGATAAAACTACCCTACGGCTTAAAACCCTTCAATGGCTCCCCACAGCACTCCGGGTAGGGTAATATTGTTCAGCCTGGTACTTAAGATCCCCCCCTTTTTTTTTGTCTCTGGCTTCATGTCTCCACACACCCCCACTTACATCCTCCAGCCTAGCCATAGTGACTCACCTGGTCAATTACACTAGTATGCTATACCCTCCTCGCCTGTAAGCCTTCTCCACACTCTTTCCTCTATCTGTAATTATCCTCCACTCCATTTTTCATCTTGATGAGATTTAGTCTTCAGATTGTCTTTTTTGAGATACCTTCTTTCATATCATTAAAATGGAGTTTGGTGCCCTTCTTACGTACCCCTGTAACATCCTGAACTAGGTATTACACCATAGCATTATTCATTATATTATAATTGTCTCTTCTCTTGTGTGTCTCCCCACTAAACCAATATCCTTGATGGGAGAACTGTATCTGATCCTGATATTCCCCGTGTCTAGTACAATTCTAAGAACCACTTAGTATAAAAACACACTGAATGAAAGAAAATGAGTAATAGGTATATATAGGGCAACTAAAACTTTGCATAAGGATGCATACAGGGAGACTGTAGAGAGAAAAGGAATTCCAAAGGAAGAACTCTGAAGAATACTAACATTTAAAGATGAGAAAGAAAAGAATTCAAAAGAGACCACGAAAAGGTACCAGACTAGGAAAACAGAAGTGTTGTGTCACAAAAACCCAGAAAAGCAACAATGTTTGCCTATGTCTTAGCATCCAGCACAACGCCTGGCATATAGCTGATGCCATAATTACCTTTATTTGTTGAATTTAAATAAAGGAAATAATATTTTAATCATGATGTTGTGAGAGTGTTAAATGTTGCAGAAAAGTCCAGTGAAATAAGGACTGAATTTTATTTATTGGTGAACTTGGTGGCAACAATTTTAAGAGCATGTAGGTGGAAATCAGATGAAAAAGAACTAAATACAGGAGGTTACAGGGCAGTGAGCAAGTGAAGCAAGCTAAACAACTTCCCAGGACACAGCAGCACACTTGGAGGGGAATCATAATGAGAGATGAACATGTTTTTGTTTGTTTTTTTTTTTAATTTTTTTTTTAACATTTATTTATTTTTGAGAGACAGAGACAGAGCATGAGCAGGGGAAGGGCAGATAGAGAGAGAAGGAGACACAGAATCTGAAGCAGACTGCAGGCTCTGAGCAAGCTGTCAGCACAGAGCCCGATGTGGGGCTCAAACCCACAAACCATGAGATCATGACCTGAGCCGAAGTCAGATGCCCAACCGACTGAGCCATCCAGGTGTCCCGAGAGATGAACATGTTTTAATGCATGAATGGAAAATATGAGTAGGAAAAGAGATTGAAAATATGAAAAGGGAAATGACATGAGGATTATGGTTCCCACCCCCAAAAAGGCAAGACAGTTAGTTCCAAATATGATGAAGCCTATTTCTTCCACTGGAAAAACAAACAAACAAAAAAACAAAAACAAAAACAAGGAGGAAAGACATTTAGTCTGAAGGCAGAGGACATGAAATTATGGGAGTATCTTCTTGATGGCTTCATTTTCTGTATGAAGATGCTATTATCTGCTAAGAGTGAAAGGAAAGGTAGTCAAGGAAAGGGATTAAGAAGAAAAGAGATGATCTAAAATAACTGCCATAGACAGAGGATTTGACAAGAGAAACAGAGAAATCATGTAAGCCAACAAAAAGGGGCTAGTGTTGTTTTAGTGGCATGGGTTCCTGTGATTCCTCAAAAAAGCTCAATAGGCAGTTTGGAGGGGAAAAGCGGAGACAGTGGAATTGATCACAGGTTACTTTGATCTCAAGTGGGTGCTGGGAGGACAAGGGAAGAGAGGAATGGCAGGAAAGCAGTTAAAGGGTGAGCAAGGGTCTAGGTCCCTTAGGGAAGGAAATTAAGACAAGGAACCAATGAAGGGGAAATAGAGAATCAGAGAGCCTGGCGGTCTCAGACATGTCAGAGTGTAGGAATAAAAAAGTGAATGATCCGGAAAGAAAGCTGGAGACAGGTTTAATTTTAAAATGTTTAAATTTAAAATCTATCTGGAAGAATAAAGAATACTCAGGAAAATTCTTCCAAAAATGTTAATAATCAGAAGCTTCTATTAATTGCATCAGCAGAGTGATGGTTCAAAACCAGATCTCAGAAATACATCTAAGTCGAAATGAGAATCTGAGAGCTGATACAGGGGAATTTCAAACCAGTGAAGAAAGAAAAGTGTTAATAAATGAGGTTAGCGGCTGGCTAGCCATTTGGAGATAGATAAAAATGGATCCAGACCTCTCCCTTTACACCAATGTAAATTAAAAAAAAAAAAAATCCAAAATTTAATGTAAACTAATTAAAGCATATAATAAAGATTTCACAGCTGTAGCAGTTTCAGGTAAAGACAAGATTCGGTGGCATGTAAGGAGCTATAATGGAGTGAAAACAAAGTGCACTGTCATGGAGAAGAAACTCTCAGCCTAGGACTACTGCAAGAGGTATCTAAGTCCCAAAGGTGCCATAACCAACAAAGTTAATCTACTCAAAAATAAATAATCAAAAATGACTGTCTCTATTTTGAAATGCACCATGTTTCTAAAAGTTAGAAATCCCAAACCCAAACCGCTAAGTCCTGCCTCAGTCGGATACTTGAGGTTGGATCATACATGTTCCCCGACAGGGTCCACATGCACTTTGGGATTTAAAACATGATGGTATGCATTGCAGGGATTTCCTCTTCAGACTCTGAATTTAGTGACTAAGTCCTTAATTACTGTCATTGCTGATTTAAAATTTTATGTAGACAAATCTTAAGCTAATCTGATCAATTTCCTTAACTCGTGGACTTCCACTTACAAACTTGCCTCTGGAGTTATTTTTACCTCCTACATTCAGTTTAGTATCATTATTTCAATGCAATAATAATTCTCTTGACACTGAGGAATTGATAGCAGTGATAATGATACATCCCTGGTACCCATCAACTTGGTTTTGGTTTGTTATTTTAATTATATAGCATATATCTGAATCTTATTAGATAATCCTTAAGCTTAGTAACTTTGTTACCATCCTCCAATAGACCATTACCTCTTCTTGCTCTTCTTCATCATACTCCTCTTGTTCTGCAGCATCATCATCCTCATCATCATCGCCTTCTTTATTTTTCTCTTTGCTTCCTTCTTTCTCTTCATTTTCCTCATCTGATTTTTCACCATCACCTCTCTTTTCCAATTCCTGGTATAAATGAACTTCATTAATTAAAAAATATTTTATTTTATTTTATTTTTTTCTGAGAGAGAGAGAGAGAGAGAGAGGGAGACAGAGAAGGAGAGCACATGAGTAGGGGAGGGGCAGAGGGAAAGGATCCAAAGTGGGCTCTGTGCTGACAGACTGACAGCAGCAAGCCCGATGTGGGGCTCGAGCTCATGAACTGTGAGTTCACGACCTGAGCGGAAGTTGGATGCCCAACCAACTAAGCCACCTAGGTGCCCTTGAACTTCATTAACTTAAATGGAATTCACTAGACTTTAACCTCCCTGCTTAGCTTAGGAGAACATAGTTAACCTATCATCTTATTCTAAAACTCCAGGCCACCAGCTAGGAAACTGTGAGTTCACTCAAGAAGGGAGGAACTCTTGGGGCGCCCAGGTGGTTCAGTCAGTTAAGCGTCCTACTTCAGCTCGGGTCATGACCTCACAGTTTGTGAGTTCGAGCCCCATGTCAGGCTCTGTGCTGACAACTTGGAGCCTGGAGCCTGCTTCAGATTCTGTGTCTCCCTCTCTCTCTATTCCTCTCCTGCTTATGCTCTGTGTCTGTCTCTTAATAATAAATAAACATTTTTAAAAAATTAAAAAAAAAAAAGGAGGGACTCTCTGTCTTGTCATTACACTAGCATTTACTTTGTTTTTGTTAGTTCATAACTAGATCTCAGGTATTGCTAGGGTATCAGCTCTAATGCACAATGCTTTATTTTTATGATTTCCTTCCTACCTCCTTCTAAAATATTGAGTTGATTCAGTTTATGGAGAGACACTTTCAGGATGTTATTCTCTTGTCCTTCCAACATGAAAAGAGAAAAGAGAATATAATGATAACATTTCAAAATGCCTGTTTAATTTATTTTGAGAGAGAAGGGGCAGAGAGAGAGGGAGAGAGAATTCCAAGCAGACTCCGCACCAGCAGCACAGTGCCCAATGCAGGTCTCGAACTCACGAACTGTGAGATCATGACCTGAACCAAAGCAAAATCAAGAGTCAAATGCTTAACTGACTGAGCCACCCAGGTGCCCTTTATTTATTTACTTTTAAAGTAAGCTTTATTCTCAACCTGGAGCTTGAACTCAGGACCCTGAGATCAAAAGTTGAATGCTCTCTGGGGTGCCTGGGTGGCTCAGTCGGTTAAGCGACTGACTTCAGCTCAGGTCATGATCTCCTGGTTCGTGAATTTGAGCCCTGCGAATATAAAATAGTGTTTATAGATCTTTTGAAGTGTCTGTAAATACGTACACACATACACACATACCCACATATAATGATGCTATGTTGACATTAACATATGGAGTTTTTTCTTTTCTATTTTAATCATATTGCGGTAAAGAGGCCTACAACCCATGAATATTGTGTAGTTAAAAGAAAACTGTGCTGCTATGTTTATTTAACTCTGTGAAAAGTATACACTATATCTGAAAAATCCTACTATTAGCTATTATTTCACAATTAGATATACACTTATTCAAGCTAATCAAGGAAAATATTTTTCAAATATAGAATTCATTCAGTGCTGTGTATGACTAGGAAGTCTTTATTTCCATTACTGCCACCTCAAATATATTTAAATAAATAATAACTTTATTTCTACCACGTAGATCTAAATCAAACCCATAAAATACTTAAATCGGTGAACTATTGCAGATAACTGCAATTTAAAAAAATGATCTCAGAGCCACACACATTCTCTCACTACTTTATTCTTTTTGTGTTAAACTGCTATTTTTGGTTTGTCTGCTTATTAGTCTCCATTTTCTCCTCTGTGAGATTTAACTATTTACCCCTACTCTCTTACAGATTTGTTGTAAGAATAATGTGATTGACATAACATGAAAACACTTTGCAAACAGTTAACTTATAGAAAGGGAACAGTTCTTCTAGTTTAAATAATACATAGCTACCCTACAGAGAGGCCTTCCTGTAAATCAAACAGATACAAGCTCAAATATTAGTTTACTGCTGTCTGATTATTCACACATTAATCATGAGATCTGACTGTATGTTACTCCTTCTCCATCCACAGAAGCTTTTTTTTTTTAAGTTTATTTATTTATTTTGAGAGAGACAGCACAAGGATGGGAGGGGCAGAGAGAGAGGGAGAGACAATCCCAACCAGGCTCCATGCTGTCAGCACAGAGTCCCATGTGGGGCTCAATCCCACGAACTGAGAGATCATGACCTGAGCCAAAACCAAGAGTCAGACGCTTAACTGACTGAGCCACCCAGGCGCCCCCAAATAAGTTTTATTATAATAAATTTGCAACTACTTTTGCTAAAGAAATGAAACAATAATAGAGTCATCCAGAAGCTAATTTTACTCTTTAACTCAGAGTTAATAAAGCTAACTCATTTAGATTTCTAGATTTAAAACTCTAATTTTAACAATGTGCAAAATGAAAAAGGTGTTTAAATGTAGAAAACCTGGAAGCATCATTTATTCTGATGAGACTACATTCAGATCAATCTTCCTTATAGCACATGTCATATGCAGTTTTGAGAAGCTTTGACAACAGTCTGAATCTGTGTTCAGTTAATATAAGTTGGCAAGTTCTGCAACCTCATCCACCATTCTACCACAGTTAAACCTGACAGTTATCACTTTTCCTTCAATATCCTCCTGGCTTTATTTTCATACATGTTATCTCCAGCTCAAGTACTAGTTAAAAAATAAAATAACAAACATGAGTTTCTGTTACCACATAGCTATGCCAACTTGACCAAACAAGTAAAAGTTTTCTTTATTTTTATTTTTTAATGTTTATTTTATTTTTGAGGGAGAGAGAGGGAGAGAGAGAGAGAGAGAGAGAACGTGTGCGAGCCAGTGGGGGAGGGGCAGAGAGAGAGAGGGGGACAGAGGATCTGAAGCAGGCTCCATCCTGACAGCAGAGAACCTGATGTGGGGCTTCAACTCAGGAACTGTGAGATCATGACTTGAGCTGAAGTTGGACGCTTAACCAACTAAGCCATCCAGGTGCCCCAACAAGTAAAAGTTTTAAAGCCTTGACTTCCTCAATTGGTATAACCTCCATTGAGAGTGATCTGTCAATATTCATCCCTATTTTCTAATACACATAAGAATTGACCCAAGAAATGCACTTCAAGAAATCTACTTTACATATGTATAATGACATACTTAATATGAATTCACTACAGCACTGTTTATAATAGCAAAACACTAGATGAAACATTAAGTCCATCAATCGGGTATTGGTTCAATAAACTATGGTTCATTCTTATAGGGTAGGCAAAAAAGGAGAAAAAAAAAAAGGATGAGGCAAGTGTATACAGACTGACATAGAATCATCTCCAATTGATTACAAGTAATAAAATGAAAATGCAGAAGAGTGTAATATGCTAACTTTTGTCTTTAAAACGAAAAAGAAAAAAATCTGTATTTGTTATACATAAACTATTTCTGAAAGATCTGTAAGAAACAGGGAATACTGATTGTCTACAAGGGGGGAACTGGATGGTTAGGGGCAAGAATGGGAGGAGAAATTTTCAGTTTATTAACCTTTTGGATACTTTCTCTTTTTTATTTTTGAAATATTAAAAACAATGAAGATATAAACTTAAGTTCCGTAAGATGTACTTTTCTCTCAAAGCACTCAACATGAGACAGAAAAAAAGCATTAAAAAAGTACATATACAATAATAGGAAAAAACAATGAGAGGTTTTTAAAAGAAATACATTTCAGGGGGTGCCTGGGTGGCTCAGTCGGTTAAGAGTCTAACTCTTGACATTCGCTCAGGTCATGATCTTGCAGTTGTGAGATGAGCCCTGGGTCCATCTCTGTAGTAAGCATGGAGCCTGCATGAGATTCTCTCTTTCCCTCTCTGCCCCTTCCCTTTTTGTGCGTATGCACGCTATCTCTGTCTCTCTCTCACAATAAATAAACTTAAAAAATAATTTAAAAATATTAAAAAAAATACATTTTAGGTATATAACTCTTTTGTGTTTCTTTCCAATACATAATTCCAATGCCAGGGGAAAATAAGAATACACAGACATTCAAGGGGAAAATAGGATACATGGGAAAGGAAGTAGGCGACAGAAGGTAAGGTAAGTTGACAGGTAAGTGGTAATGAAGGACAGGATGGAGCCTCCTTATCTACCAGCCAACAATGTTCAAATCCTTCTAGTTACCCTGTGTGCTGGGATTGGTTGTGCCAAATCTAGGTACGATTAACAAGTGAGAGAAGGTGTAAAGAGTGAAGAAGGTGAAGGAGGCATGATACTTTTACAGCTTGCTCTTACGGTAAGAAGAAAACCTTACCTCGATTTTTTTCAATACATCTGCAGTATTAGTGAGTGACGCGCCTTTGCCCGTAGCCTTTGCTTTTTGGGATTTGGGGCCTGCTAAAGTAAAACCGCTGTTAACACATATTTCTATAACAGAAACTGTGTATTATATTTCATATGCTTTCTAGCATAGTGATATGTCCTACTGGGCAGTCACCCAATTTGCACACTGAATTTTCCAAAAGAATAACAAAATCCATCAGCATGCCTCCCCAATTTTCCATGATCAGGAGTCAACGATAATCACTTAATAGGAAGTTTTTTAAGACCGTAACCACATATCTTTTTACTAGTACTGAAAATCTGTACTGGCAATTAATGTTATTAAGCCCAAACTGCTAAAATGTTACTTCAGGAAGAAGCACCAGAGGACCAGTGAAAGAATCTCACAAATATATCATCTGCATTGGCTTCTTGGTCACTGATTGGTGTACTTTGTTTTAAGTAGGGCAATTTGACCAGGTTCGGAAAATAAAAAAACAAGTGCAGAATAAATAAATAAATAAATAACCATTTGTCAATGGTTAAGGAAATGAGAAAGAGGTTATATTCATGCAACATAAGCATTATCTTTGGAATGAAGATTAAAATGGCTACCCTGAATATGCCCATTATATGAACCTGAAAAGTCAAAGCAGTATAAATGTTTTAATGGCATTGGGGTAATTTTTTTGAGCCAAATAAAAAACATTGCATTTTAAAGCTATTGTAAAACTTCAGGGCATAGAGAATTATTTCACATATAGATCCTTCCAGTCAGTCACCAAGGCATTATGATATGCTACAAAATTGTCCCATTGTGATTGAAAGTATTATAGTCCTTTCCCCAAATCAAGCTAAATACCTAGAAATTACTTGGCAACACAGGAAAATATAGCTCAGAAATATGTAATTTTGTTAAAGATTAACATTTAACTTATAAAAGAAGAAATTTCTAGATTGTGGTAGATGACCCATAACTGATGGAATTACAATTTACTGTGTTACATACCAAATTGCCCTTCAGGGAGTCACTGAACTCAGAATCCCAAACACATTTATGTGAAGTTTTGTTCAAAAAAAGGTAATAGGTAGATTTAATCATGGGTAACTTTTTCTGTTCCCCTTGAGGGTTAAAGAGTGTTTAATTTGAACTGTAGCACATAAAATATAGTATCATATATGAACTAGATTTCAATATATATTATGATATTGAAATCAGAAAACATTAGCTAAGAATGTAATTTACTCACATAATGAAGTCTTTTTCTCTAAGAATCTTCTGTTGAATTATTTAAATTTCATAACACATAAGTCTGTTTAATGGGTATTATAGAACATGGTCAGGTAAATGAACTTATTAAAAACTACTGATTTCTTAACCAAGAAAGTCAGTTGCCAAAAGGCAACTAAGTATCTTTTGCTATTTATTAAACTGTTTTTACATACTCACTAATTCTTTTACGTACAACTAGGGGAGAAGTGTCAAATTTCCAAAATTTGTTAAAAGACTGTTTTAACCTCAAAACATTAACAGGCATTTTTCCGTCATCTTTGGCCAAATACATGCATATATTTGAATTTTTGTTTGTTTGTTTCTTTCAATATCTGCCAATAGCTGGTTCTTCAAGAAAAAACTTTTTCAGCCTTTGGCCCTTTGGGTACTATTTACTTTCATGTAAATCAGTAGAGGCCATCTTAACAAAAAGGAGAGTATAAGTTTACCAGGAATAAAACACAAAAGTTATACAATACGCAAAAAAAAAAAAAAAAAAAAAAAAAAAAGCTCAGAATGGAAACAAAGTTTTATGGTTGTTGTTTTGTTTTTTAACAAATGGAAATTCTGACACACTGGAAGTTTTAACTAATAATCAATGTGTATATAAAGTTCCAGGGATGAGTAGTCAGTGGGATGTATTTGAAAAAATTAATTTTTCCAAATCAGATATATTCTTTTTGGCTCTTTAAAGTCTGCTACAAATTTACGATCCACTAGGACATGACCAGTATCATTAATGCACATGTTATTATATTGTAAAAATAATATATTTGCCCAATAAAAGCCAAAGGTATAAAAAAACAGCAGATAAAACTATTATATCTCAATGTACAATATTTTGGTTTTTAAAAAAAATTTTTTTTTAACATTTATTTATTTTTTGAGAGACATAGAAAAACAGAGCACAAGTTGGGGAGGGGCAGAGAGAGAAGGAGACACAGAATCCGAAGCAGGCTCCAGGCTCCAAGCTGTCAGCACAGAGTCTGACGCGGGGCTTGAACTCACAAATCGTGATCATGACCTGAGCTGAAGTCGGACACTTAACCGACTGAGCCACTCAGGCGCCCCTATTTTGGGTTTTTAACATAATATTTTGTACTCAATCAAGCTAAATATTCTTATATACTGTAGCTTTGAAATGAAACAAAATAGAAATACTTCCACTTTAAATACATGTGTCAGAATTTACCAAATTATATATTCAAATATATGCATTTTATCATATGTCAATGATACCTCAATAAAGCTGTTAAAAGGGGGAGGGGGATCTCTTTCAGCAGACAGGAGATGAAGCAATACTTCCTAACTCATTCTGTGAGGCCAGCATTACCCTAATACCAAAACCAGACAAATATTATAAGTAAGGAAACAGAAGATCAATCTCTCATGAACATATAAGCAAAAATTTTCAACAAAATATTTACCACATCTAATCCCACAATGTATAGAAAGAATAATACATCACAACTAAGTAGGATTTATCTCAGGTATGTAAGGCTGGTTCAATCTTCCAAAATCAATTAACAATCCATCAAATTAAAAGGCTAAAGAAAAAAAAATCACATGATCGTATCAACAGATGCACAAAAAGCCTCTGACAAAATCAAACACCCATTCATAATGAAAAACTCTTAGTAAACAAAGAATAGAGGGAAACTTCCTAAACTTGATAAAGAATAGCCACCAAAAAAACGATAGCTACATCTAATGGTGAAAGGCTTGACGTCATACTTAAAGGTGAAAAGTTTAACACTTTCCCACTAAGATTAAGAACCAGGCAAGAAAGTTCCCTCTCACCACTGTTTTTCAACATTGTACTAGAAGTTCCTGCTAATGCCATCAGATAAGGAAAGGATATAAGAGGTAAACAGATTGGGAAGGAAGAAATAAAACTATCTTCGTGCACAGATAACATGATCATCTATGCAGAAAATCTGAAAGAATGAGACCAAAACTCTGGAAACTAATATGTGATCACAGCAGGGTTGCAGGATACAAGGGTAATACACAAAGGTCAATAGCCTTCTTATATACCAACAATGAACAAGTGGAATTTGAAATTAAAAATCTACTACTGTTTACATTAGCACCCCCAAAATGAAACACTTAGATAAAATCTAACAAAATATGTACATAGTCTATATGAAGAAAACTATAAAACTCTGAAGAATGAAATCAAACATCTAAATAAATGGAGAGATATTACATGTTCATGAATAGTAAGATTCAATACTGTGAAGATGACAGTTCTTCCCAACTTCATCTATAGATTCAATGCAATCTCAATCAAAATCCTAGTAAGTTATTTTATAGTATCAACAAATTGTTTCTAACGTTTAAACGGAGAGGCAAAAGATCTCGAATAGGCATCGCAAAATTGAAGGAAAGAACAAGGTTGGAGAACTGACACTACCAGACTTTAAAACATACTCTACAGCTCTGATAATCAAGACTTCCCGGTAAAGGTGAAAGAATATAGAAAGGTCAATGGAATAGAATAGAGAGCCCAGAAATAGACCCACAAAAATATAGAAAAAGAAGCAAAGGCCATACAATGGAGAAAAGAGTCTTTTCAACAAATGATGCTGGAACAACTAAACTTGCACAAGCAAAAAAAAGTGAATACAGGGGTGCCTGGGTGGCTCAATCAGTTAAGTATCCAACTCTGGCTCAGGTCATGATCTCACAGTTTATGAGTTTGAGCCCTACATCAGGCTCTGTGCTGATAGCACGGAACCAGCTTTGGATCCAGCTTTGGATCCTCTGTCTCCTTCTCTCTCTGCCTCCCCCTTTCTCTCTCAAAAATAAACAAACATTAAAAAACCTTACACTCTTCACAAAAATGAACTCAAAATGGATCACCACCTAAATACAAAACACAAAACTATAAAACTCTAGATGACCTTGAGTTTGGTAATTACCTTTTAGATATAACACCAAAGCCACGATCTATGAAAGGAATAACTGATAAGGTGGACTTCATTAAAATTAAACAATTCTGTTCTGCAAAAGATAATGTCAAGAAAATGAGAGGAAAAACCACAGACTGGGAGAAAATATTTGCAAAAGACGTATCTGATAAAGCATTATTTGAAATAATACAAAAAAATATTGGTTTCTCTTCCTGGTTCCTTGCACAGAACTCCTAAAACCCTTATAATTTCCTAAGTGGTAAAAACACTAGAAGCATCTTTTGTTCTAATATTTAGTCTTTGACCTTAGTTCCTGGCAGAGTTCCTAATCCCTTGAAATTTACTGCGTGATAGGAGTGTCTTTTGTTCTAAGGAGACAACTCTTGGAGGGCTCCTAGACAGCTTCAGGATAAGGGCACAAGACAGATCAAACCATGATTAAAAGCCTGGAATTTTCAGCTCCATTCTCCATTCCCCTGGAGTGGAAAGGGACTTGAGACTGACTTCATGATTGATCATACCTATGTGATGAAGCCTCTATAAAAATCCCCAAAGTATGGGCGTTTGAGGAGCTTCCAGGTTGGTAAACACATTCACATGCTGGGAAGGTGGGGCACCCCAGCTCCAGGGAGACAGAAGAGTTCCTGTGTTAGGAATCGTTCTAGACTTTACCTTATCTACCTTTTCATCTGACTGTTCATCTGTATCCACTATCATATCTTTATTAAATAATAAACCGGCAAACCTAAATGTTTCCTAGGGTTCTGTGAGCTGTTCTAGTAAATGAAATCCAAGTGGCAGGAGGGTCATAGGAACCCCTAATCTGTAGCCAAGTCAGATAGAAATTATGGGTAATCTGGGGAACCTACTACTTGTAATTGGCTTTTGAAGTGGGGAGCTGGACTGAGTCCTTAACATGTGGGGTCTGTGCTAATTCCAGTTGATTTTGGAACTGAATTAAATTGTAAGACAGCCAGCTGGTGTTGCAGAGAACTGCTTGGTGTGGGGAAAAAAACATTCCATACACCTGGTGTCAGAAATGTTGTGAATATAGTAGTGGTAGGAGACTAAAGGAGATACAGCAGGAGTAAGCTTTTCTTACAGACTGTTATCCAAGATATACAAAGAACTCCTAAAACTTCACAATAAGAACACACAGACACACACCCACACAAAACATTAAAAAATGGGCCACAGACCTCTTTCCAAACAAGATATACAAATGGCAAATGTGCTCCACATCATAAGTCACCAGAGAAGTGCAAATTAAAATAGTAGTGAGATACTTACTATGCACCTATTAGAATGGCCAAAATCCAGAACACTACCACCAAATGCTAGCCAGGATATATAAAATCGGGAACTGTCATTGGTTGCTGGCGGGAATGCAACATGGTAGAGCAACTATGGAAGACAGTTTGGTGGTTTCTTACAAAGCTAAGTATACTCTTAACATACAATCCAGCAATCATGCTCCCTGGTATTTACTCAAAGGAGTTGAAAACTTATGTCTACACAATAGTGGATGTTTATAGCAGCTTTATTCATAACTCCCAAATCTTGGAAGCCATCAAGATGCCTGTAGTAAGAAAATGGATAAACAAACTGTTGCACATCCAGACAATGCCATATCATCAAGCACTAACAAAAAATGAGCTGTGAAGCCATGAAAAGTCATGGAGGAAAATTAAATGCTTATTATTAAGTAAAAGAAGTCAATGTGAAAAGACTACATACTGAATGCTTCCAACTATATGACATTTTGGAAAAGGCAAAGCTATGAGGACAGTAAAAAGATCAGTGGTTGCCAGGGGTAAGGAGGAGAAAGAGATGAATAGGCAGAGCACAGAGAATTTTTAAGGCAGTGAAAGTACTCTGTATGATATTACAATGGTGCATGCATATCATTATACATTTGCCTTTACCCACAGAATGTACAATACCAAGAGTGAATCCTAATGTAAACTATGGAATCTGTGTAAAAATGATATGTCAAGGTAGGATCCGTAATTATAACAAATGTATCACTCTGGTGGGGGATATTAATAATGGGGGAGGCTATGCATGTATGGGGGCAGGAAGTATAAGGGAAACCTGCACTTACCTGCTCAATTTTGCTGTGAATCCAAAACTGCTCTAAAAAATGAAGTCTATTTCACTCAGATCAATGGAAAAGAATAGACAACCCAGATATGGACCCACAAAGTATGGCCAACTAATCTTTGACAAGGCAGGAAAGAATATCCAATGGAATAAAGACAGTCTTCTTCAGCAAATGGTGCTGGGAAAACTAGACAGCGACATGCAGAAAAATGAACCTGGACTACTTTCTTACACCATACACAAAAATAAACTCAAAATGGATGAAAGACCTAAAAAAACAGGAAGCCATCAAAATCCTCGAGGAGAAGGCAGGCAAAAACCTCTCTGACCTTGGCCACAGCAACTTTTTACTCAACATGTTTTTGGAGGCAAGGGAAACAAAAGCAAAAATGAACTATTGGGACCTCATCAAAATAAAAAGCTTCTGCACAGTGAAGGAAACAATCAGCAGAACTAAAAGGCAACCGACGGAATGGGACAAGGTATTTGCAAATGACATATCAGATAAAGGGTTAGTATCCAAAATCTATCAAGAACTTATCAAACTCAACACCCAAAAAACAAGTAATCCAGTGAAGAAATGGGCAAAAGACATGAATAGACACTTCTCCAAAGAAGACATCTAGATGGTCAACTGACACATGAAAAAATGCTCAACATTACTTTTCATCAGGGAAATACAAATCAAAACCACAATGAGATACTATCTCACACCTGTCAGACTGGCTAACATTAACAACTCCGGCAACAACAGATGTTGGCAAGGATGCGGAGAAAGAGGATCTCTTTTGCACTGCTGGTAGGAACGCAAACTGGTGCAGCTACTCTGGAAAACAGTATGGAGGTTCCTCAAAAAATTAAAATCGAACTACCCTACAACCCAGCAATTGCACTACTAGATATTTATCCAAAGGATAGAGGTATTCTGTTTCAAAGGGGCACATGCACCCCAATGTTTATAGTGGCACTATCAACAATAAAGTGTGGAAAGAGCATAAATGTCCATCGATGGATGAATGGATAAAGAAGATGTGGGTATATATACATATACATACACACACACAATGGAGTACTACTCAGCAATCAAAAAAGAATGAAATCTTGCCATTTGCAACTACCTGGATGGAACTAGAGGGTATTATGCTAAGCGAAATTAGAGAAAGACAAATATCATATGACCTCACTCATATGAGGACTTTAAGATACAAAACAGATAAACATAAGGGAAGGGAAGCAAAAATAATATAAAAACAGGGAGGGGGACCAAACATAAGAGACTCTTAAATATGGAGAACAAACAGAGGGTTGCGGGAGGGGGGATGTGCTAAATGGGTAAGGGGCATTAAGGAATCTACTCCTGAAATCATTGTCACACTATATGCTAACTAACTTGAATGTAAATTAAAAAAAATAAATTAAATTAAATGGTAAAAAAAAAAATGAAGTCTATTTAAAAAGCAAAATGCAAAATACCAGGCCTAAAAAAAAAGAGAGGGGTAAGGGAGGAAATCTCTTCTGCTTAATTGCTAACCCTACTGTTATTAACCTGTCTGGCTACTTCCCTTTTTCTCTATTCTTTTTTCTAAATTTTACAAATGTTTATTTTTTATTTATTTTCAATTTTTTTCTAATGTTTATTTATTTACTTTTGAGAGAGAGAGAGAGAGAGAGAGAGACAGAGCGCAAATGCAGGGGAGGGACAGTGAGAGCTGTCAGCACAGAGCCAGATATGGGGTTGAATCCACGAACTGTGAGATCATGACCTGAGCTGATGTCAGACCCTTAATGGTCTGAGCTACCCAGGTGCCCCTATGTTTATTTATTTTTGAGAGAGAGAGAGAGAGAGACAGAGAGAGACAGAGAGACAGAGAGAGAGTCAGCGGGAGAAGGGCAAAGTGAGAGGGAGACACAGATCTGAAGTAGGCTCCAGGCTTTGAGCTGTCAGTACAGAGCCTGACACGAGACTTGAACCCACAGACTGTGATATCATGATCTGAATTGAAGTCAAGACACTTAACTGAGTCACCCAGGCGCACCTCTTCTTTCTTTCTTTCTTTCTTTCTTTCTTTCTTTCTTTCTTTCTTTCTTTCTTTCTTTCTTT